GGTCAATATTGTTTGGAGAGAGATAAAACTAACAGCTTTAGAATCAGCGCAAAAAGGGTGTGAACACAAAGCGCAGACCCGCCGAAACATCAGAATCAGCGAGCTGTCGGCTTTCAGCCCCGACCGTGTCCATGCCGTCGGGTGAGAAAGGCGACATCTCACTGATCCGCGGGTCCGCGCTTTGTGTTTACGTCTTTGTGCATTAGCCCTGTACCTGCTCTCATTTACTGTTTTAAATGTTTGGTGGTTGTCAAAATCTTGTGACGTTTCACCTGAGATTCTGGAATTTTGGGCAAAATACATTTATATAAAAAAAATCGATTCAGGATTTTAATGAATGATATCACGTTATCCAAGCCAGAATCGATTTTAATCGATGAATCGATTATTAAAACCCACCCCTAGTTTATTACAGGGGATCCGCACTAAAGTGATTCTGCGCTCTGCGTCTTTGAATAATTTCTGTATGTGAACTTTTGTCAGATCTCTTCATTACTACTCAAGGAAAGGGAAGCGTGCAAGTTAAGAATATGGAGTGTGATATCTGCAAGGTGCGAACAGAAAAGGGGAACTGCCTGCTGCACTCTGTCAAGGTGGGTATTGGCAACACATGTCAGGCCTGCAATTAGTCGGTCCTACTTGTTGGAACAATTTACCCACACTATGTCTTTCCCAGGCTTGCTTATTTTACAAAGACAAAGACAAACCACACACTCTTTTGCTAAAACAGCTCAGCCCTGACCTTCATCTATCAAAACATTTACTGACTGTGACTGTTGATCCTTAAACACTTGAGCTGAAGGCAAGTGGACATCTTCACTGGCCTGTGAATCAGGTTGTAATTCCCCTGCAATTAAACTGAATTTCCATGTATTTTACCTGAATTTACGATGCAGTTATATTTACTTGCAAAGACTTGGCTCAAAATTCAAGTTTTTACAGGAACGAAGAAATAATTATACTCCAAGCAATTTTAAGTAATGTGTAGTTTCTGGGTATTTTAGTGAAAAGACAAACAAAATTTCCCCATCTTACACTGTAAATGCACTGCACCTTTATATTGTAGTGGCTTCACCTTGCCTTTTTACATTTTGTATGATCCATTATATTGATGTGCATCATGCATGCTCCACTATTCAGCTGTCGTCTTTTATTACATGCTTTTTATTTGTTTTTGTTTTTTAATGTCTCTGTAAAGCACTTTGAATCACCTTGCTGTTGAATTGAATTGCTATATAAATAAACTTGCCTTACATATAAAATATGTGATGAGGACTGTTGTTTTTTTCAACAATCCTGGAAATTATGCACTACTTAAATTACTAATGTAATACTTGAAATGGCTCACAGTATAATTTGTCTTTTTTACTTTAAAATACCGGAAGTTACACCCTTTGGAGGTAGTCCTGAAAATTGTCCTGTGAGTCATTAAGGTCACACCGGTCAAGGTACAAGTTGTTGGAAAGACATCTCAAGACTGGATCACAGGTGGCTGGCAGTTTGTGCTGTAGGCCACCACCTTTGTTCAGTGTCAGTTGTCCCTTTTCTGTTATTTCAAATCATCTGTCTTCTCTATGCAAACTGTGAGCATCCTGAAAAGAGCGCCCTTTCTCATCTTTTCCTGTCTTATTTCAGGCTCATCAGGTTGAGGTGCAATCCCACGAAGGGCATGTTACAGGTGGGGGCACAATCAATGGCAACGTGGTCATCAGCACTGGCGGAGACAGTGTAAGGATGACTGTTATTTCTACGTGTTAGTCCTTATACTCAGCAGTCATTAGGGGGCAGCAGTACCCTGAAATACACGTTAGCAGTGTTGAGTTTCATGCTTTCTTTTTTTTTTTTGATTTGAGGCTATTACTTAAAACAAACAACATCAAAAAAGCTGCGATTATACATCGTGTACATCCCTGTGTAGTGATCAGTTGTACGTTTACAGGCAGTGGATGTCAAGAAGCTCCAGGGCACCAAGATGAATGTGTCAACAGAGCACGGCCCTCTGAAGGTCAAAGCCATCTACGCGGAGTCCACCTGCATCTCATCCCGTTCGGGGAGAGTGAACCTAGGGCACGTGCACGGTGAGCAAAAGCGAGCATCCATCATTCATTTTTAATAAAAACTTGTATCTTAATGAAATTACATGTGTGGTTATTACGACAACCAGAGTCCAATGCAAAGTGAGCCAATAAGCAATTAAATACTTTGACTCTACTACACATTAGATTGTTTAGATTATGATAGTTTAGTTTTTAAGTAAATATATATATATATATTTTTTGCCAGTGGATAAAAATATCAAATGAAGATCTCACTGACAGCTATTGATCCCAACAGTGTGTGAAATTGGAACAAATACAACCGACCTGAGTATTAAAATACTGTTGGCAGGTTAACACACAGGCAATAATAATCTAAAGTAACACAAAATGGGTAAATCTACACAAAGAGGTTGCTATTTTTTGTACACTATATTACATTACAGTACATTTTGTGCTCAGCTGTTTTATGTTACTTGCTTGGTAAAGCAGGACTTTGGTATGTCTGGAATCCCAGGCTTGGACCAGAGGTGATTTAACTGCAATGTGGTTGTAATTTATCTGCTTATCCAGCTCGTTACTCATTTCTGAAAAGCTATGAAACAATGTAGTTTTAAGAAGACTAATTCTTCAAAGTCAAGATGAGATCAGAGCTTTGTGATGTGTAGTAAGAAAAATGCACCATTGATGCAGACATTTCCTTTTCTTCCTGATAATGATGAGCCTCAGACTCCAACACATGCATGGAAACAATTATCTTGTTGACTTAGAGCTGCAGGCTTGTGATATCTACAGTCTTATAAGTGTTATCATTAATTATGTGCTTTCATTAATTAAAGGTGAGACTACTGTGAAGAACGTGTGTGGAGATACAGTTATAGGTGAGCAAGTCGACCGACTGCACATTGCCCTTTTATATGGTCTCCATCAGTGGAAGCAAAACAAAACACCCGAGGCTTTGCTTTGCTTTTTCAGATGGTTCAAATAGCTTCCTGAAGGTTTCCTCTGACAGCGGAGGCATCGATGTCTACGTGGGAGACGGTGGCAGTGCTGAGCTTCACAGTCAGCAAGGTAAACACACATTACAAGAACAACTTTATTTGACACAACTTTCTTTGTTACATCTTTTGAGTCATATTGTTTTTCTCCTTCGTTCTGTGTCTTACGTAGGAGCGGTGAGCGTGCGTGTGCCGTCCTCATTAAGAGCTGGGGTGAGGCTTTGTGGGACGTCGGTGGATATCAGCCCAGAGGTTGTTCTCCATGGAGTAGAAAACAACACGTCTGAAGGCCACACCACAGTTATTGGTAAGCTCGTAACCTTCTTTATAACGCTTCCCTTTGGCACAGTTAAAATGCCATATCCTAAAACAAGTAATCACATACACAATGTTCTTTCCGTAATCCGCCTCTGCTTTGTTTTCCTCCTACTCTGTGTTTCTTACAGGCTACATGAATGTAGAGTCTCCGGCTAATCAGTGGGTTAAAGCTCAAGCAGACAGAGGCTCCATCAGACTGACCGTACAAAGCTGGTTTGAGTCCCGGAGGCTAGTCAGCTGAATGTCCCGTTTTTTTCCTAGAATCATGATGCATCGCTGAACTGGGACTTAAAAAATGTACAAGAAAGAGCCAAACATTACTGCAGCTGTAAGAGACTGAATGCTTATTTAACACAGGATATATTGCATTATAATCTGAAGTATATTAGAAATGTTCTATGTGTGTAAGAAGCCACTGTACATACAGACTGCAGTGAGATTATGTGTGCACAAAACTGTTGGTGTTTTGGATGTTTTAAAAAAAAAAAAAGTTTTGCTCATATTTTTTTTTCTTTTTTTGTCCAAGTTTACCGAATGTTACTGGAAGCTACCTCAAACTATGAAAGCACCATTGAATACCTTGCACCTCTCCACTGTTACTGTAGTAGCATGATTAGGTTCAAGTACAACATTTTACGCAGTTTCCCAGAAGTAAACACGTGCAGAGGTTTACCAATCTGCAAACTGTGGAACGATTTTAGAATAATGTTCCTGAACATAAAATTGTAAATATCTTGAATGTTATAAAGAGAATCTGGAGAAATCTCTGTTGCGCAAAGGACAAGGCCAAAAATTGATACTGGCTGCACGTGGTCTTTGGGCTCTTGGATAGCACCGCATTAAAAGCAGACACGATTCTGTCATGAAAATCAGTACGTGGGCTCGGGAGCCCTTCCAGAAACAGGTCATAGTTTGCAGCGCCATCCAAAAATGCAGGTTAAAGCTCTGTCGTGAACATAATACAAAAATCCCACTGTCTTCTTTGGACTAAAGCCCATCAAACATGGATTGAGGCAAAGTGAAATACTGTTCTGTGGTCAGACAAATTTAAATTTGTAATTGTTTTTAAAAACTTTTGGATGCTGTAACCTCTGAACTGAAGAGAGGAACAACCATCTGGCTTGTTGTCAGTGCTCAGTTCAAAATCCTGCATCTTTAACAGTATAAGGGTCCATTAGTGACTGATGGCAGCTCGCACACGGAAAAGTACCGTCAACGCTGAAAGATACATATAGGTTTGCGAACAACATGCACCGCCATTCATTTTCAGGAAGAACTACAAATTTCAGTAAGGCAAGTTCAGCATCTGTTAGAACAGCATGACTTCATAGTAGAAAAGTGCTGAACTGACCCAAAGTCCAGACTTTACTTATTAAAAGCATTTGGTGCATCATTATCGTCAGACCCAGCAGTGCCAAGCAGTCAGAATCCTATATCAGTCAAGAATGAGACAACATTCCTCTCCCAGACGTCCAGCAGCTGGTCTCCTCAGTTCTGAGACATTAACAGACTGTTGTTAAAAGAGGAGATGCTACACAGTGGTAAAAATGGCACTCTGTCAAATATGAGATGCTTTTCTGCCATTAAATTCAAATTGAGTAGTGACTCTATAGTGTGGTCCAAATCCAAATCCCTTTGGAGTTGTGTCAGGAAGGACATCTGGCATTTAAAATAAATTAAGATGGGAATAAGGGAGCAGTAGAAAAAAGCTTCACCATCTATGGGATACAATGTACATCACCTAAAATTGGAACAGTAAACTTCTAAAGCAGGGGTCTCAAACTTGCGGCCTGGGGCCCACTTGCAGCCCACCTCACCCCTACTTCACGTTTGCAGTTTTGTTATACAATATTTGAAATTAAAAACAAAAAACGAAACACTACATTTTTGGAAATATTTGTGGGTGTTTTCTTGTTTGATTTTGTACTACTTGAAGACTAAAGTGGTCCTCCAATAAGATGACAGTGCCAGCAGTGGCCCACGACTCATTTAAGTTTGAGACCCCTGTTCTAAAGATTATGTTGAGACATTTCTGAATTTGAAGCAAACTTTGAATTCAGTCATTGCAGACCAATGATGGCCGGCAACATCAAGTCCATGAGAAACTGTGCATATAAATATGATTTCCAGTGAGAAAAGGTTGCTATATTATTAATAGATAGGGCTGCAAACTGGCTCCTGAAGTAAACTAGTACACCACTTCAACTGTGCTGTTGGAAACTGATGAAATGTGTCAGCAAAGCAGGTAAAACTTTGTGTTGTAGGCTTCTGTCCCGACAGGTACAGACCAGAAAGCCCACACAGGTAAAAGTCCTCCATGAACTTATTGCAGTTGTCATTACTGATTACTGCTTTGCTACTTCTGATGGATCATCACTTGTGACCAGATGCCCCATGTTGTATCCAAACCAGTATGGAGGGGTGTCCCTGCTGTGCTCCCAGTATGTCACACGTGGCTGAAGTTTTGAGGCAGCTGCCCTGAGGAAACACACCTTCATCGATTGGTTAAAGTTTTGGGCAGGAGTTTAGCTTTGCTGTGAACTTTTAAGAGCATGCCGTACCTCGAGATGCCGCTGCAGCAGGCCATCGTGATGGAACTGAGTGGAGGACAAATTCTTTCCAAGTACCGAAGTGTGACATCTGTGAGAAGAACACAGCCACTCACATCAAGCTCTCGCAAGTACTGAGATCCACTTGTCAGATACTGGACGGCCATATCGGTCATCTGAAGCAGGGGGAGAAAAATGAAAAAAAAAATGGCATGAAATGACAAGAAGAAAGGCAGTTCCTTCAACTGGATAACATTAAATGCCTTAGTAATGTGCACGTTTATACCTTAAAACAGCCGACCATCCGCAGTGCGACCAGGCCTCTGCAGTAAAACGAAAAGGCTCTGACGGCTGCGTCAGACAGAGCCACACAATGAGAGATATCGACATGTTCCAGGTCTGTCACATTCTTGCACAGCTTCTGCTCATTGTGAGAAACAAAGAAAATGAGAGATGTGTGATGAAGTGTTACTGATTAGAAAATAAATGAGGACTAAACATGGAGGAAATTGGAAATCATTTCTTCAATGGTGTTGGCTTGTTGAAAGCAAAAGATTCATTGAAATAGCTGTGGATAAAGAGAAGGGTTTCATTTTGTAAAACCATTAGTCCAGGAAAAGGTTTGGATACAAATGTAATTCCCATCAGTTGTCAATGTTACAAAACAATGTGAGAGGAAGAAAACTTGGACGCTGAACACTTGGCTGAAATTCCAGATAAATATGCACCTTAATTCCAGCGTCTGTGACAGAGAAGCACTTGGCAATAACCAATTTCCTCAAAGGAATTCCCTCAAGAGTGGCCAGTCCCTAAAAATGCAAATACCCAAGTTAGAGGCTGTTCTTCAAATTCCCGAAATTCAAATCTTCAGGAATGCGTGAAAACAAGAGCAAACATGGTAATAGTACTTGATCCTGGATGTTGCAGCTGCTGAGGTCAAGTGAGCAGAGAGAGCTCCCACCCAGCCACTCCACAGCCGAGTCCGTCAGCCTCTCGCAGTAACTCAGATTGAGATGGAGAAGTTTGCACAACCTAACAAGTTGGAAAAACAGCAAACAAAAGCTGCTTTATGATAGTATTTAGGCTCGGTTCTGGGTAAATACTCATGAAAAAAACTGTCATATAATCAGAGACGTAACTGTGTGTACCTTTGTGCAATCCTCATGACAGAGATGTCGGTGATGTGACGGCAGTGACTGACATTCAGTTCTTGCAGTTCATTCGCTGAGCAGCCTTTAGTCAAATACTGCACCCCAACATCAGTCACCCTGAAACACATTATTTAAAGAAATGTAAAGAAAAGGTATGAAAAGTGAGACTTCGGTCATCACAAACAAGCACACACCTGTTGCAATACGAGATGTTAAGATATCGCAGATGTTGGAGGGAGGCTACAGATTTGAGGCTTGCGTCAGTCATCCCGGGGCATTCTGCAGCGTGGAGCCTGCGGAGACCTTGTGAGCTTCTGAACAGGGCGTTCCAGCTCAGGTCTGTGAGCTGGTAGTTGCCTAACGCACAAGCATTGTGTACAACATAGTGGAGAATAACTGGAGCAGTATTAAAACTCTTCACACAATGGGGAAGTAATTATTTGATCCCCTGCTGAAATTTTAAGTTTGCTCACTTAAAACAAATGAACAGCCTCTAATTTTTATTGTAGTTCCATTTTAATGGAAAAAGACAGAAATCAACCAAAACATATTACATGCAAGTTATAAATTGATTTGAATGTCATTGAGTGAAATGAGTATTTCCACCCCAAGCAAAACATGACTTAGTACTTGGTGGAGAAACCTGTGTTGGCAGGCACAGGTAGGTCACCAGGTTAGGACACATCTTAGGAGAGACTTTGGCCAACTCCTCCTCAGTTTGTTGGCCTCTGCTTGGGCACGCAAAGCTTCAAGTCCTGTAGAATTGTCCTGTACCAGTATCAGAAAAAAACAGTCCCAATAGATAATGTTTCCAAGTCCATGCTTCACTATCGGGATGGTATTTTTTGAGTCATACTCAGTACTTTCTTTCGTTCAAACGTAACGGGTTGAGTTAATACAGTAAAGCTTGATTATAGTTTCATCTGACCACAGAACTTTCTCCCAAGTTTTCTGTAAATCATTTAGATGTTCACTGGCAAACTTACATGTGGCTTCTTGAGCAGGGGGACCATGTGGGTTCAATCCATTATGGCGTAGTCCAGGGGTGGGCAACTCCAGGCCTC